ATGAGGTCTCGCTGCCCAGGCGGGTCTCGAACCTGTGGGCTCAGGCAATCCACTCACCTCAGCCTCCCAAAGGTGCAAGATTACAGGCTGAGCCACCGAGCCCGGCTAGGATGACATCTTAAGTTGATGAAATATAATCAACAACTCAATCAATACTTGCTTTTTAAAAATATTAACCTGGGGAAAAAAGAGCAGAAACTCATGCGGTTGACATGAACATAAAACATCAGAGACTATACACCACAATCATTATGCCTCAAATTAATGTTAAAAAAAAATAAAGTTTTCAAATTGTGGCTATCACAAAGAAAATCCTCAGAATCCTTTCCTAGTGCTATACAATCTCCAGATTCAAAAATTTAGACAGATAAGAGCAAAATTAACTTGTTGTAAAAATCACTGTAAATGTAAATGAAACAAGGTAGATAACAACCTTGATGTTACAAAATGAAAACAAATGGTGTTATGGTCTGAATGTTTGTGTTCCCTCAAAAATCATATTGAAACCTGTAGAAAGTGAAACCTTTAGGAGGGTTAGGTCATGAGGAGTCCACTCTCAAGAATGGGATTAATGCTTTTACAAAAGAGACCCCAGAGAGCTGCCATCCCCTTCTGCCAAGAGAGGACACATAAAAGGTGCCATCTATGAGGTACAGGCCCTCATCAGATAATGAATCTGTTGGCACCTTGATCTTGGACATCCCAGGCTCCAAAACTGTGAGCAATAAATTTCTGTTGTTTATAAATACCCAGTGTAAGGTATTGTACTTTGTTACAGCAGCCTGAACAGACTAAAATAAATGAATAATTACTTGAATTATGGGTTACTTTTTAATGACAAGCTTTTTAATTAAAAATGAAATCACAGGTAACGTAAAGAGAATGCTGGATGTTAGACCATTTCTGAAAGAGTATTTCAATACAGCAGAGTTTTTGAGGCCAAAACAAAATGGACATTGTGTTCAATTAATATGGCGTTCTTTTTTTTTTTTTTTAATCAATCAGTATTTTTTATTATGGTTTTGTGGGGTACAGTTAAGGGTTAGGTGTACAATTACGTTTCATTCAGGCACCCTGGAGTTCTTTTATTAGGGAGAAACCAAAGACCAGAATTCAGACAATCTTAGTCTAGTGTAGTAGGCTGACCTAGGGCAAAACACTTAATTATTTTTAGCCTTGATTCCATAACTGTGATCAGCCAAACAGCTCTTCTAGCACTCTAGAAGATCCAAAAGGAATACAGCTAATAGCTAAAAATACCATGGTTAACTATAATTAAGTAGAACTTCATGAATTACTATTAGTATTAAATATTAGCACCTAATTACAGCCACCACACATTGAGCACCTACTACATGCTAAATGTATGTTTACCTAATCCTATTTACAACTCTATGAAAAATGTACTATTATTCTATTTTACAGTATAGTAAACTGAAGCTTAAAGAGATTAAGTAACTTTCCAAAGTCTCACAACTGGTTCATGACAAAGCCATGATCAAACCCAGGCCTTTTTTAACTCTTGAGCCCAAACATTTACATTCTACCCTCTCTGCCTCTCTATAAGAACCTAAATTCTAAGTTCAAAATACAAAACAAGATTTCTAGTGTTAAAAATGCAACCAGGGCTGAGCATGGTGGCTCATACCTATAATCCCAGCACTTTGGGAGGCTGAGGCAGGAGGATTACTTGAGACCAGAAGTTCAAGACTAGCCTAGGTAATATAGCAAGACTCTGTCTCTACAAAAAAAATAAATAATTTTATTTAGTGCAACCACAGAGCGTATATGGTATACCACAAGCAATGGACTAGGCATCAGGAAACCTAAGTTCTAGTGCTAACCCCACACATGCACGTAAGACAATGAGCAAGCTAGCCTCTTTTGGCTTTTTTTAATCCATAAAATGAGAGCTGACTAAATACATTTCAAGATTTAGCCTTCTCCAGCCTGGGCAAGAGTGAGATTCTGACTCAAAAAGAAAAAAAAATATTTAGCCTTCCCAGATCTGAAATTCTGATTCCCTTCATATTTTAAAAATTTCATTACCTTAAATATTATTTCCATAATTAACTTTCTAATTTAATCAATAATGCTACTATGCAAAAGCGTATCAGAAGGCATGAAAATTTTCTTCTGACCATTTATCAATTTTTCCCTCCTATGAATAAACTGCACTCGTTCTGGCACTTAATCATGTACCCTTACACTAACCTGAAAGAGCCTATACTGCTGACCTCTGCTAGTTATTGAACTCTTTCCAAGCATGTCTGTCTCTAAGTTAGACTAATATCCATAAAGATGGAGATATTTCTTCAGTATCTGTTGAATGAATGAACAGAACAAGGGAGACTGCAGTTATTCAGTAAATACATGCTGACTATGTAGGAAATATTTTTTTCTCTCTAACTTTAAAACCACATTTTAACAACTCAAGAGTGGATTGTCAAGAACTTCCATATAATTAATAATCCATTTCCTTTTAAGATTACTACAGATTTCCAGTTACTCCAAGTTTTTTGATGTACAATGAAAACCATTCAAATTTCATAAAACCATTCACTGAGCCTAGCACAATCACTGGAATAAAACAGGGGCTTCAAAAGAAGAGAATGAATTGAACCCAGCAAATAATTTTACAAGAGTCAAAAAATAAAGTAAGTTACTATGATTATATTATACAAGGAGACTCGATTAATAAATTATTTTCATGACATGTCTCAAATGAAGATGCTTGCAAAAGTATTCCTAACATTAAAAAAAAAAAAGTGAAGGAAAAGAAATGTTAAAAAAAAAAACCAAAAAAAGGCAATGGAAACCAAATAGGATTTATTCAAGAAGAAATCAACATGGTTGCTAAAAGTGAAATATCAGATACTTGAAAACAAGAGCTTTATTTTCAAATAATGAAAATAAGAACAGATTTAAAAAGAAAAATGATCATTAAGTAACACAAAGATGAGTCTGGGGAACTTTAGACTTAAGTAGAGAGTATCAGAAATATTATTTCAAAAATCAGTTTACATAAATGGAAACAAAAGTAGGAAGAAGAAAAATATAAATATAAAGCTTTGTTTTGAGAAGAGGAAGGGCAAGTGGACACAAATTGAAAGAGAAAGGGTCAAATACACTGACGGTGCTGCTACATCACCAAAACCAGAAAAAGAGCATAAGCAGGAATGTGTATACAACCACACTTCTTTAGAGCTAAATTATCTGTCCCTTACAGGATTTTACAAATGTGAATAATCATTGTTCTCTGAGATTTATGATCTCAGGCAACAATGAATATTTAGAACTACTTTGGATTCAAAATTACTACAACAACCTTACAAATATCAGAAGAGCAAAGTGTCAAGGCAATATTAAATGTCACAAAAGGGCAATCTGGGCTAAGATGAAGAGAATGTCTTGCCCTAACGAGAGAACCAGATAATATGAAATGCACCATGAAATGGAATGACCAAATAGAAAATACACAAACTGTCAGATGCTGAATAAACTGCATCAATGAATTATCTGATTCAGGAAAAGTTAAAAGGTTCTTGATGTCACGTCCTCAAAATATTTTTAAAATAACACCTATTTAGCAATTTATAGAGTATCTCTTTAGAAAGTCTATGATTTAAGGATAACCTGATTTTCTATAACGTGGAAGTGTGTCCAGTATTAACTGAAATAAAACTGAGAAAAAAATTATCTTTAAAATGCAACCATATCATCTGTAAAAAACTGAAAGGTACAAGCCAGTTGTACTGAATTTTAAGTGACATTATAAACTAGATGGCGAATGAGCTTATTCTACATTTCTACGAAGTAAACCAAATTGCCAATAACTAAGATCGTTTCATTAAAATAATCTTCCACAAAATTATTAGGCATTTAATAATCAGAATAGGATATTCTTCCTCTTCCAGGATCCTTAATAAAAGATAAAACCAGGAGTAAAAACAGGAGACTCAACAAGCCAGAATCAACACTTGGGTGACCACAAATCAGTTACTATTTGATTTTCGATGACCACAAATTAAAGTTACTATTGCATATTGGGCCAGAGAAGATTAAGAAACAACTTCGGGCAGGTAATCCCAGCACTTTGGGAGGTCAAGGAGGGAGGACTGCCTTCAGTGCAGGAGTTCGAAACCAGCCTGGGCAACATACTGAGACTTTGCCTCTACAAAAGGAAACAAAATTCAAAAAAATTAGCCGGCGTGGTAGTGGTAGCGCATGCCTGTAGTCCTAGCTATTCGGGAGGCTAAGATGGGAGGTTTGCGTGAGCCCAGGAGATGGAGGCTGTGACACTGCAATCCAGCCTGGGCAACAGAGACCACGACTCAAAACAACAACAACGAAAACAAAGAAACAACTTCGGCCATAAGTTGGAAACAAATTGCACGTGCACGTGCAGGTATGCTCACTAAGAAATCCAAAGTCCTTTCAAAGAGAGTTGATGCTGCTGCATTCATTCAAGCGCAGGCGACTGGCATCTCGGCCGCCTCCTCCGAGGGTTTCCGTGCGAGCCCTCCCGAGGCCAGGCATGAACGTAAGGTCGACTCCAGGAGGAAAGCGGCTCAAGAGGGAACGGCATCCTCGCACGGCCTGGAGGACCCGTGACGCACCAGGAGCTCAAGGCATCCCGTCGCTTACCTGGTCGAAGCAGCTGGGTGGGAAGATGTCCACGTGCACCATTGTTTTCCAGACGCGTTTATTTATTTTTAACTTCTGCTTCGCATCCATCCCCTCAACCTCAGCCTAACAGGGAGAGGGGATGGCAGCGCCGCTGGTGGTATTTGGGTGCAAGACCAGTTTAAAAAATAAAAACACAGCCCTCCCTTTATTCTCACGGCAGCGCACTCGGCGCCCTCACCTCTCTCCCACGCCTCTGCCATCACCCACGCAGCTCCGCCGCCCCCCGCATCCCCATGACAACCCACCCCGGGCGGCC